TTACCAGAGCACATACCCTCCCCAGCGTCTATCACCCAGTCACCCCATCCCTCCCACCCCACCCCCCACTCCAACAACACTCAGTTTGTTTCCTGCGATTAAGAATTCCTCATATCAGTGAGATCATATGATACATGTCTTTCTCTGTTTGACTTATTTCACTCAACATAATACCCTCCAGTTCCATCCACGTCGTTGCAAATGGCAAGATCTCATTTCTTTTGATGGCTGCATAATATTCCATTGTATATATATACCACATCTTCTTTATCCATTCATCTGTCGATGGACATCTTGGCTCTTTCCACAGTTTGGCTGTTGTGGACATTGCTGCTATAAACATCGGGGTGCACGTACCCCTTCGGATCCCTACTTTTGTATCTTTGGGGTAAATACCCAGTAGTGCAATTGCTGGATCATATGGTAGCTCTATTTTCAACTTTTTGAGGAACCTCCATACTGTTTTCCAGAGTGGCTGCACCAGCTTGCATTCCCACCAACAGTGTAGGAGGGTTCCTCTTTCTCCGCATCCCCGCCAACATCTGTCGTTTCCTCACTTGTTAATTTTAGCCATTCTGACTGCTGTGAGGTGGTATCTCATTGAGGTTTTGATTTGGATTTCCCTGATGCTGAGCGATATTGAGCACTTTTTCATGTGTCTGTTGGCCATTTGGATGTTTTCTTTGGAAAAATGTCTGTTCATGTCTTCTGCCCATTTCTTGATTGGATTCTTTGTTCTTTGGGGGTTGAGTTTGATGAGTTCTTTATAGATTTTGGATACTAGCCCTTTATCTGATATGTCATTTGCAAATATCTTCTCCCATTCTGTCGGTTGTCTTTTGGTTTTGTTGACTGTTTCCTTTGCTTTGCAAAAGCTTTTTATCTTGATGAAGTCCCAATAGTTCATTTTTGCCCTTGCTTCCCTTGCCTTTGGTGATGTTTCTAGGAAGAAGTTGCTTTGGCTGAGGTCAAAGAGGTTGCTGCCTGTGTTCTCCTTTAGGATGTTGATGGACTCCTGTCTCACATTGAGGTCTTTCAACCATTTGGAGTCTATTTTTGTGTGTGGTGTAAGGAAATGGTCCAGTTTCATTCTTCTGCATGTGGCTATCCAATTTTCCCAACACCATTTGTTGAAGAGACTGTCTTTGTTCCATTGGACATTCTTTCCTGCTTTGTCGAAGATTAGCTGACCATAGAGTTGAGGGTCCATTTCTGGGCTCTCTATTCTGTTCCATTGATCTATGTGTCTGTTTTTGTGCCAGTACCATGCTGTCTTGATGATGACAGCTTTGTAATAGAGCTTGAAGTCCGGAATTGTGATGCCGCCGGCTTTGCTTTTCTTTTTCAACATTACTCTGGCTATGCGCGGTCTTTTCTGGTTCCATACAAATTTTAGGATTATTTGTTCCATTTCTTTGAAAAAAGTGGATGGTATTTTGATGGGGATTGCATTGAATGTGTAGATTGCTCTAGGTAGCATTGACATCTTCACAATATTTGTTCTTCCAATCCATGAGCATGGAACGTTTTTCCATTTCTTTGTGTCTTCCTCAATTTCTTTCATGAGTATTTTATAGTTTTCTGAGTACAGATCCTTTGCCTCTTTGGTTAGATTTATTCCTAGGTATCTTATGGTTTTGGGTGCAACTGTAAATGGGATCGACTCCTTAATTTCTCTTTCTTCTGTCTTGTTGTTGGTGTATAGGAATGCCACTGACTTCTGTGCATTGATTTTATATCCTGCCACTTTACTGAATTCCTGTATGAGTTCTAGCAGTTTTGGGGTGGCGTCTTTGGGGTTTTCCACATAAAGTATCATATCATCTGCAAAGAGTGAGAGTTTGACTTCTTCTTTGCCAATTTGGATGCCTTTGATTTCTTTTTGTTGTCTGATTGCTGTGGCTAGGACTTCCAATACTATGTTGAATAGCAGTGGTGATAGTGGACATCCCTGCCGCGTTCCTGACCTTAGGGGGAAAGCTCTCAGTTTTTCCCCATTGAGAATAATATTCGCTGTAGGTTTTTCATAGATGGCTTTTATGATATTGAGGTATGTACCCTCTATCCCTATACTCTGAAGAGTTTTGATCAAGAAAGGATGCTGTACTTTGTCAAAAGCTTTTTCTGCATCTATTGAGAGGATCATATGATTCTTGTTCTTTCTTTTGTTAATGTATTGTATCACATTGATTGATTTGCGGATGGTGAACCAACCTTGCAGCCCAGGGATAAATCCCACTTGGTTATGGTGAATAATCCTTTTAATGTACTGTTGGATCCTATTGACTAGTATTTTGGTGAGAATTTTTGCATCCATGTTCATCAGGGATATTGGTCTGTAATTCTCCTTTTTGATGGGGTCTTTGTCTGGTTTTGGGATCAAGGTAATGCTTCATTACCTCATAAAATGAGTTTGGAAGTTTTCCTTCTGTTTCTATTTTTTGGAACAGTTTCAGAAGAATAGGTATTAATTCTTCTTGAAATGTTTGGTAGAATTCCCCTGGGAAGCCATCTGGCCCTGGGCTTTTGTTTTTTGGGAGATTTTTGATGACTGAAAAGCTAGTCATTTCAAGGTGACAGAAAGGAGCAGTACCTTTGAAAAAGAAGACCAGGAATGACAAATGTCTTGGGAACATGCAGAAAGGGGCCAATCTTTAAAATTGAGACTTGAGAAGAAATCAATAGATTTATAAGTGACCTGCTTCCAAGAAAGCAAAGAATCAAATAAATGACAATTGACCCTGTGCCAGGGGTCACACAAATCCAGTCAACAGCACTATCCCAGAGATGGTCTCCCACACTTACAGCTCAGAAGACTGTTTCCAAATATCTCACAGCTAAGGACAGCTTTTCCCGAGAGGAGCCCATGAAGTGGCAGATGGGAAGATATTTTGCAAAGTTGCAATCTCTCCTCCAGTGCAAGGGAAGGAAAGCACCACTTAATCTTCACCACCCGATTATCTTATTGAACATGTAGAAGACAAAAGAGAGAGGAGGAAACTAATAAAAGAGAAGCAATTTTCTTCTCCTCCTCCTCCTCCTTCTTCTTCTTCATCTTCTTAAGATTTATTTATTTGAGGGTGAGAGAGAGAGAGAGAGAGAACATGAGCACAGGGAAGGAGAGGGTCCTAAAGCAGAATCCATGCTGAGCACAGAGCTCAACGTGGGGCTCTATCTCAGCACCCTGGGGGGGGGGGGGGGGTCACTGTTCTTTTCACTTCAAGTTCCTCTAACAATCAACTTTGCCTCCTTAAACGTCTTTTCTAATTAACACTCTTTGGGCTGCAACTAACAAAAATTGCTTGAGCTCCCTTCAGCAGACAGAGAATCCACTGTTCACTATTCAGAAGGATAGTGCCCTCTCCAACCCCAGCTGGCTCATTCCCCTGCTTCATTCCTTCAGCCCTCAGATCATGGATCCCCTACCCCAGGAAACCTTTGGGGCCCTGCTAGGCTCCACCTCTGTGCTCCCATTGTGTTCTGCACAGTTAGACTATGAGCTCCTTGAGGACATGACAGGAACTATAGCCCCCTGTCTCAGAACTCTGCATGGCTAGCCTTGGGAATTTGATACATGTCTGTTGGACCCTCGTGGCGAGCTGGAGAACCTTGAGCATTTGGTGTTGCTGGTACATAGACAGGAAAGTTAGGGTGGTGCCAGAGGAAGTGGGCAAAGTAGCAAGGACCACAAAGGCCTTAGACTCCATCTATCGGTGACAGGAAGTCACAGAAACACTTTACACACAGGAACTATGGGGTCAGATTTCTGGGCATTGTTAATTTTTTGTTTTAATTTTAGAAAATTCTTGGACACATGTATGAATTATCAAGAAGGTAAATTCTTGCTGGTGACCTATGTAATGGTTATTAATCATTGCCAACCTCATTTTTTAAAAATTCTTGAACAGTTGTTCTTGGCCCATGGAATCCTATTTCTCAGCAGTCAATGTCAATCAATTTCATAACATCCTGCCTCAAAAGTCTCTGGCACCCTCTCCTCCAGCAAAGCAGATTTTCCCTCTGAATTTAGGGTTGCTCCATTGATCAACATTATGTTACTCTGGAATGGAAGGCCACACTCATTATTGTGGACTGGACGTTATCTGGTGACATGAATACTTAATTAGACACTACCTCATATGTTTCAGATCTCAGGATGTTTTTCTTGAAAGACTGAAGTTAAATGCTATGGGTGGCAATTATTTAAATAACAATAATAAACACCTTTTACAGAACCGCACTTAAGTAGCTAGGATTGGGCTAAGCATTTTACACACATCATCTCACTTTATCCTCACAGCAACCCTGAGGAATTATGGCCATTTTATAATGGGGGGATTGATATCCAGAGAGGTTAAGTGACTTGCTCAATATGATGCAGATGGTAAGTGGTAAAGCCCACAACCAAGGCTATCAGATTCTGAATCACCCACAGGTCACATCCATGCATGCCTCCAAAAATGATGGACTGAGCATGGATGTGATGAGCACCCAAAGGGTGGTGAGAAAATTGGCTAAGAACAAGTGACTGTGTTTCATTATGTTCCCATGCAACTTTTTTGTTGCCCTAAGAATATTTGTTTCTTTCATTATTCTCTTGTTATGTGTCATAAAGCTGGAAACTGGAACCCGAGGCTAGGAATGATTGGGAGAGCATTATTTCTCACTTCTCCACTGGAATTTGACATAAAACCATATATCTAAGACCACATTAGGAATCTCTTGAAAGGAATAAGTTTGCAAACTACATTACCAGCAGCAAAGCAAACCACCTTGGGGTTCATGAGGTCTGCATTCTCTCAGACTAGAATGCAACTATGAATCACCGAGATGTATGAGGATAAGGAAGGTTCCACGAAGGCTCCCTCTGGACACAGTAGACAGGGGCAATGTTCTCTGCCACCCACCTGGGCCTCCAGTGGATACAGCAATTCTCTAACAAATGTCCAGTGAAACTTCCATTCAGATTGAATGACATAAAATGGTCAAAAAACAAGCATATCTGGGTCTGAGCATGCAATCTGCTTGACTGGTTCTCATCGGGATAGATTTCTCCATTGGGCCAGGAAAAAAAGTTCTAAAAGCGCTGAGTGCAGGTGTTTTAAGTGGATAAAAAGAACATACCAAAATTTAGTGGTGGAAAACAGGTCAGCTCCTATTTTTCTTCCAGAAACAAGTCTCAATGGTAAGGCCTTGAATGTGCCACACACTGAAAAATATTGCCATTAGAGGAATTGCTCCTGAGGTCTAAGAGTTTCCTCCATCTTTGACTTTCTGTCTCTATAAGTGACGGGAAATGTGGTTTATTTGTAGAATTTTGCGCAGATTGCTTAAGGAAAGTTGACTTGAAAGAAATATTGAAAAAAGACAAATGTTCTGTGGAAAGCAAGTACACAAATGAGAGGAAATGTCTACATTCCACAGAATTACGGATGATTTTTTAAAATGGTAGCTGTGAAGCGAGGCAGGGCTGGAAATATTACTGTATATTATGCCTTGTCTAATTAATCTTGAGAACCAAAGTGAGTTAAGGTGAGAAAGCAGAGCCATTCCAGGCTTCCCCACTGACTTGTCAATTAACAGGAACTTTCTTCTCTGTCTCCCGTGGAAGTGCCATTATTGTTTTGCTGTGTGTACCATGGAGTGACTTCCAACAAAGAACACCACCATCATATGAGTTGCCACATTAATGTCCTTTCCTCTTGTGTACCATTTACACATATCCCTAGAGGCAGAATGCAGACTGCTGGTTGCCAGGGGCTGAGGGGAGAGAACAGAGAGCAACTATTTATTGGGCACAAGGTCTCCTTGTGGAGTGCTGAAAATGTTTTGAGACTTGATAGAGGTGGTGATCACACAATGTTGTGAATATACTAAATTTTTCACGTTAAAATGCTTATTTTATGTCCTGTGAATTTCACTTCAATAAAAAAAACTTGCAATAAGACAAGGCATTTATTTAAAAAAAAAAACGCCAGGGCACCTGGGTGGCTCAGTCGGTAAGTGTCTGCCTTCGGCTCAGGTCATGATCCCAGGGTCCTGGGATCAAGCCCCGCATTGGGCTCCCTGCTCGGCGGGAAGCCCGCTTCTCCCTCTCCCACTCCCCCTGCTTGTGTTCCCTCTCTCACTGTGTCTCTGTCAAATAAATAAATAAATAATCTTTAAAAAAATAAATAAATAAAATTTAAAAAGTACCATATGGAAATGTTAATACAAAAGTAAGAGTTAGGACCGTGTGATAAATGCTTCTAATAAAAACAAAATTATGAGAGCAGGCATCCCGTCCTCCACAGCACTCAAAAGCGAAGCATAAAATCTTTCCAATGGGTCATAATCTTCTGAGGAGAAATGGATTCAATCAAAGAACTGTGGGTTTCATTGAGTGGGGAAAACTCCCAGTCACAATGGTCTACCCACCACTCCCTATGCAAAAAAAAAAAAAAAAAAATTGCAAATGACAACACCGCTCAAGGTTCTTACTTTCAGGGTGTGATTTGTTATGTCTGCCTCGTGTTGAACCCTCTGGGGGTGGGAGATCAAAGCTGTCCCCCCAACCCAGATGGCTCCATGGGTTCACGGAAGCTCTGTACTCCAAGGCAGTCAGTCACAGCTTATCTGAAGGCATAAACCTGTTTCCATACTCAGAGGCCAACCTCCCAACAGAGATAGACCTGAGTTTTGTTTAGTTTTTTTTTTTTTAAGATTTATTAATTTGTTTGAGAGAGAGAGAGAGCACGCTTGTGTGCACGTAAGAGGGGGAAGTGAGGGGCAGAGGGGGAGAGAGAAGAGTGAGAATCCTCAAGCTGATCCCCTGCTGAGCCCAGAGCCCAACACAGGGCTCAATTCCACAACCCCAGATCATGACCTGAGCCAAAACCAAGAGTTGGGAAGCTCAACCGACTGAGCCTCCCAGGCGCCCCTGAGATAGACCTGAATTTTAACCAAACCAGGGAAGGTAACAACACTAGAGAGTTGACCTTGCGCTGTTTCAGGATCCGTGAGATTTGCCTTATTAGCTTGCCCTCACAAAACCCTAATCTGAGAAAAGTGTTAAAAAGAAACTATAGCTAAGGACCACCAGGACTTAATACCTAACCTAACTGTAGTTTCAGCCTTTCCCAGGAATGGAATTTTAAGCACATCAGTCTGGAATTTCTTGCTCAGCACTGGTGAGGTTATCTGCACAAGACCCCTGCCCTCCCCACTAAGGGAAGGTGACGTCGCCTGAAACAATCCTTCTTATACAAATAACTTCCTGTGCCGCCCCATTTCTGCCTATAAAAGCCTTGTATTTTGTACAAGTCCTCAGAACATACTTCGTCTGTTAGATGGGGTGCTGCCTGATTCATGAAGAGTTGAATAAAGCCATTTAGATCTTTAAATTTACTTGGTTGAATTTGTGTTCTTTAACAAAAGATACTGTAATGAGTGATCTATCCATTTTGAATCCCAGGCCATTTCTCCATCCCCTTCTGTCCCCAGAAAATAATATCCTAGAATGTGAAACTGCCATCAGCCAGACCCCAGGGCCTGACCTTTACAGCTCAACCGCTTGTAACCACCGACCTTTGTCCCACATTTTTCCTTCAGTTCTTCTTTCCAGCTTATCTCTTGACTCAGGCAAAAGACCTGAGGACCTGAGGGGCATAACATCCCAGGATGGAAACCCAAACTACCCCCCAGCAGTAACAACTGCCCCAACAAAGAGTTCTGGTGGGCCCAGACCACCCAGACCAGTTTGAAGTCAACTCCCAACTCACGCCTCCACAGATGGACCATGGAGCAACCCGCGGAGTGACCAGAGTGACCAACAGTTACGTTTACCTCATTATAGTACTAAAATCTCCACCCAAGGAGGATCACCAGCCTCATTTACAATGTATGTTCAGGCATGTTTCCTTAAGGCACATATGCAACCTTATGCCAGCTTCTACATACAGTGATAAGGCTCCCCTATCTAACTATTCATCCTAACCCTAAATAAAGGGAACCCATTCACCCTTGCTCAGGGAGTCACAGCTTTAGAAGGTATCTCCCCCATGATCTCCTTCTATGCTGCAAATAAAAGGAAACTTTACAACTCACCTGGTGCAGTCTCTGTGACTCACCAAGGAGTGAACTCACATTATAGTTCAGTTACAAAACGGCTTGACTCGTAAAATGATTTATCAAAACATGAACATAACTCTGCTGACCATAATCAGAATGGCATGGAATTGGCTTAAGCAAGGTCAAAGCCGCATACGGGGTAGAAACAGTGAGTGCATTTCCTAGTGCAGCTCTTTCCACATGGGATGATCTAGGAGCAGCATCTGAACACATCGCCATTCCTTTCACCTACTCTTTTCAAGTTAAAAATTTGCACAGGACAGTGGCTGGAAAAATACATGTCTCTGAGTGCACATAGAAAGTAATCCATGAGCTATTATGCAAAGCTGGAGCTGAATGCAAACCTGAAAGCCACATTTGTGTAGCATCTTCATTTCGAAATTCCTTTACATACTGCAGGGGAAGAAATCTAATTTGTCAGTGTTGACAAGAAAACATATGTGCTTATTCTAAAAATGACTGTACCTTGCGGCTCCTTTTCAGCAGATGCAGACACAGAATGCACTGTAATACATACACTCGGAACTGTTCGGGGTTTCCAACCAAATCTTCTAGTGTTATCTCCCTTGAGAAGAAGGAAGGAAATGAACCAAAAAAATAAATATTTGCACATCAAATTGATAACAAGAAAACCAGTAAACAAAACAAACCCTAAAGATTGGATACCATTATATTTTCCTTCCTCTCCTCACTCTAGAATTTTCTGCATATCTTTGTGGAGGAAGCGGGGAGGGAACCCCTCAAAATTGTAAGTTACTGACAGTCCATCTCTACTTGCCTCAAGCCCGAGCACAGCATTCCTCCATTTAAGAGATCTCCATTCACACTGAAGAGCACGAGAACGACAGAGGTTTGCATTGAGATTCTTAACCACAGATGAACTCTCTGGAATTTTTACAGAATGTTGTGTTCACCTGCAACATCTAAAGGAAGAGTCGACAATTTCACTGGGCTCTCAGAGAGAGCCCCGACCCAAAAAAAGCTGTGGACTCTTTATTTTAAAAGGCTCCCCTGAGAGAGAGATTGAAGGACTGGGCAGAACCTAATTTTGATTCAGCCCTTAAAGTTGCCCCCATCTTCACCGTATTTAGAGTTGCACTGCAAGGTTCGTTCAACCCATTTTTGTTGTGCCTACCACAATGCCAGAATGAAAGGGCAGAAAACCACTGCAAAATTCGAAGCCAGAAAGTGAGGCAAACATTACACAAGAGAACTCACAACGCAAAACCAAATCAGGTATGTTTTACGAGACAATGCTTACTTCGGGTCAGTGATGACGGAAGTTGACCTGTCCTGCTTGAAATGTGAATTCAGATTGATTTTAGTTGAAATACACCTCTTAAACCCTTCAGCTTTCCCAGAGTTTAACCTGCACAGGTTACGATTTAAATTCACATCACATGTCTGCAGATATTCACAAAGTTAAACTAAGTCATTAACATGTTGTAGTTTCCTAAGATTCTAGTCCTACATACAATTTTTTTTTTTTTAAGATTTTATTTATTTATTTGACAGAGAAAGACACAGCGAGAGAGGGAACACAAACGGGGAGTGGGAGAGGGAGAAGCAGACTCCCTGCCGAGCAGGGAGCCCGATGCGGGACTCGATCCTGGGACTCCAGGATCATGACCTGAGCCAAAGGCAGTCGCTTAACCAACTGAGCCACCCAGGCGCCCCATACAATTTTTTTTGACAAGCTACTGTTGATCTGTCTCACATGATTCCAGGTGAAACTGGTTTTGTCCTCTAAATCTGCTCTAACTGGATTCCGTCTCATCTCACACAAACCCTGGAGGCACGAGTCAGATCCATATGGGCACCATTCAAAGAACCAAGTTCCAGCACAGAGAATGCAGTTGCAGGTCCTGATCCTCAGGGTGTAGGTCCCACAGAGAGCCCCACCCCCAGTCCCAGTGTATTTCTCTGGTTGGCTGCTGAGAGATTATCTAGGACTTAAAGATGTTCCAGTTCACACAGAAAGCAAGGAGAGCCTGATGGGAACTGGGCAATACTGCAGTTGCAAACCCCACACTTCTAGCCCCAGGCTATTCTGGAAATGTGCCATCCCATGTTACAGATAACAGAGGTACATATATGCCCATACAGCGACTCAGTCATTCAGTGTTCTTCCCATTCTGATGACGGATAGTTGGAAGAAAGGCAGGCAGGGACAAGGGCCCTCCCCACCCTAAGAGGAAACAACCCTTAAAAGGATTTTACACCACCCTGGAAGGAGTCCTCCACCCTTTCTCCTGTGATAGGTAGATGGAAAAAAACCTGATTGGGTGGCAGGCGAATGGAGGGTTAATCAGATTAAAACCCCTAGACTTAGAAACTCAGGTGGCAACCGTCTCAGGTCTCCTCCCTCTTCGGGAGCTTTGTACTATCATTCGGTAAACTTTGCTTTACTGTAACTCAATAAACTGCTTTGTTGCCCACCACTCTGTCTGGTCTACCTCTTCGTTCTTTGAAGAAGAGGCGTGCCCAAGAACCTCGGGCACTAAAGGAAAAGAAATCCTGTAACAATTCCTCCATAACTATTAAACCTAGCAACGAGTCATCCCTCAGGCAAAACTTCCAGATCAGCCCCAGGCAAGACAGTGAGGCGGGCCACTTGGGGCTTTTCTTCCCCTCACCCCATCCAACCCCTCCCCTTTCCACTTCTCCACCCCCAGTTAACCATTCTCCGGGAGCCCCTTCTTAAGGCCAGCCCACTGGCCCTGAACCTGCTCCACCCCTCCAGCGCCCCCCCAACACCGTGTCCCTGAGGAGGGTGCCTTGGGGCATGTTCTCTGTCACTTCCAGGGGCAGTGGAGATGTCCTCCACAACCAGCCCTTTTCCCTCTCTCTCCCCAAGTAGAATGTGTGCGTCTTCGCAGTGACTCTCGTATTTGCTTCCCAATGGAAAGGAGGGAGGGCGTGGCGAATCCCCTCCCTGCCTTTAAGCCTGGGGTCCAATCTCGCTCCTGCCTGTCTCTCCTTCGCCAGTCAACACTAGGTATCAGCTCCTTTTCCTTCTCTGCCGCAGACCCCGCTCCTGAATGGAGACCTGCGCAGTGGGGGCAGCGAAGCTGGAAGCCCTCCAAGGGGACAGGCTCAGCAGGGTGTGGAGGTGGCACTTCCAGGGCCGGTGGGGGTTAGCGCCAACGCCCCAGCGGCCTGACTCCCCGCGGCCCAGCGCTGTCACCCCTGTTGGCAGGCACCTGGCAGAGTTTTGCCTCTCATCAGACCCGCTCCTGGGCCAGAAACGCAGGTGACAAAAATAAAAAATGAAGGACAAACCCCCCACCGCCACCAAAAAAAAGAGAGAGAGAGAGGAAGAATGCAAACCAAGAAACAGACTCCTAACTGTAGAGAACACGCTGACGGTGACCAGAGGGGAGATGGGGGGGGGGGATGGGTGAAACAGGTGATGGGGATTAAGGAGTGCACCTGTTGTGATGAGCACCAGGTGATGCATGGAAGTGTTGAATCACTATATTGTACAGTGAAACGAGTATCACACTGTGTGTTAACTGGCTGGAGGGGAGGAAAGGACTGTACCCCAAAGAAGGGAGAGGGGCTCCATTTCCAGGGGAAGGGGTAAAGGGAGCTGGGCAGACAAATACAGCAGCCCCCACATTAGCACACACGGGCACCACCTTCGACTGGATTTCTTAGCGGTAAGGAGAAAGGAATATGGTTTTGCATTGCAGAAAATATCTATTCCTTCTTCAAAGACATGACAGATTCCTTCATCCAAAGTCAGGAATTTATAAGCCGCTACAATTTGAACAGTTGCATTCTTTAAACAAGGACTGAAATAGCTTAATTTGCCTTGACACTCAGGGAGCTCATGGATTCATTCAGCTGTGCAATTCTGCTGTAAGAAATGTTTTATTAATTACACCAAGGTACATAAAAAATTAAAAGTTATGTTCCTGTGAAGCACATATTCAATTTCAGGTACGTATCAGATTTAACCTTTTATCTTGGCCATAAAATTCAAATTATGCATCAAATATAATAAAGATCTATTCCAATGAATTGAAATTGGTTGTCATTTTAACGTGCTTTTAAACTTTTTAATTGATAACATGCTTTTAGTAAATGGTCAGCTCAAAGATGTAAAAGTGTTACTTATAAAGAGTAATCTTTGAGCAGACACTACCAGATAGATGGCCTTGTATTCAAAGATCCTATTTCAAGGCAAGTCCTGCAGTTAGAATTCTAATGAACCGCACAGACAGAATCCTTTAACAGCTTGGGTAGAAAGGAATGTTCTCCACCACCATACTCACTTTTAAAGTGCAGAGCTTGTAAGCGAACTAACATTAAAGGTTAAGGAATTAGCCGTGTGAATATGCATTCAAATCAGTCAGCAAACATTGACTCTACGGAGACCTTACTCACAGTAGGGAATATGTCATGTGTCATGTGCTTGCCGTATATACTCTGCAGGTATCAACCAAGGTAATTCCCACGACCCCCTGTGGGGTGGGTACCATTATCCCCCATTTTACAGAAGTAAACTGAGAGAGAGGTTACGAGATTTTTCCAGACTACCTAGGTGACAGAGTATGGAGCTCCAAGATTCTAGCCTAGACCAGAGTCCATGATCTTCACCTGCCTGGGACACACAGACCTGATCTGCCTTTGAGGGTCTCATGAGGCCTTTGATGAGATAAAACCTTTCCACACGAAATCATAGTCAACAGTGCTTGATGGCAAACAGTGAAATGGTTCGCACAGAAGTCAGTCCTACCGATCAGCGAGGTGTTTGACGACCACCACAGTGGGCAGGTAGGGTGGGAAAGGAGGGCAGGATTGGCCTGGAAGAACCTGGAGGACAGGACTGGGTTAAGGTGAGCAGGATTTGGATGCTGCTCACCCCCCAGAGAAGAGTCACAGTTTTTCTCTTCTTTGCCGCAGGACAGAGTCATCGGTTTCCTTTTTTGTAACTAGGCCCAGAAGCCACAGGTCACAAGGAAACATGGCAAAACCACCCAGATGAAGAGGCTGCAAACCCCTGTAACTAGGGTCACCAACTCATCCTGGTAGTTCTCGATTTTCCCAGTGTTCGCACTCAAGTCCCAAGTCCCAGGGACCCTGTGAATCCCAGGCAAACCAGGATGGTTAGTTACCCTGCTTATTAAATTCAAATAGGGGGGCGCCTGGGTGGCTCAGTCGTTGAGCATCTGCCTTCGGCTCAGGTCATGATCCCAGAGTCCTGGGATCGAGCCCCACATCGGGCTCCCTGCTCTGTGGGAAGCCTGCTTCTCCCTCTCCCACTCCCCCTGCTTGTGTTCCCTCTCTCGCTGTCTCTCTGTGTCAAATAAAATCTTTAAAAAAAAAAAAAAAATCAAATAGGAGAAAGAGCTTTTTCCAAAGAAACAGTTTAAAACAAAGCTTATGCTATGCACGTATTACACTAGATAAGATGACCCCTCGAAACACTAAAACGTTTGAACTTGAGCTCCTCTGGACACTGCTATATAGAGGCTGTGGGATCTTAGGACAGTCACCCATCACACTGGGCCCACTTTCCCTACCTGTAAAATTAAAGGTTTGAAGTTAGGCGCTTTT